ACCCTATCTCTGCAATCTCTCCGTTCCCAGGGAGGACTGTGTCAATTAAGATGTGATTTTCAGAGGCCCTACCAAAGAAAATAACTAAGATCCCATCCCAGAATGAAATATTTTCTTGAAATATATACTCTTACCCTTGCAAGGAACTCCCTTAGAATTGAGGTTGTGACAAGGGTCAAGTTATGGACATGCCAGAGTGTTTTAGGGAGTCCAGCTTTGATTGTAGCCATTTGTATTGCTAGGCTGTGCAGTAAAAACTGCAAGTAATGAAAATAATCAAAACAAGTCTTTAAATTGGAGGTTTCCTAGATGTTAAACTATCTCCAGTTGTCTCCCACTGTGAAGAAATTGCAATGATTTTATTTCCACCAAGTATCTGCCCCTGCTTTTCCAACCATCCCAGAGCTACTCCAGCTGAGCAGGAAGAAAAAAGGAGTGCAGGCTCCCTCTGGCTTAGAATTCCTATTCATAAATCACATTCAACGTCACTAAAAATGAAACTCCCAATGTCTTCAAATTCAAAATTCCAGAATTATCTGCTCTATACCATTACTCATTACTTCTTCTGTGATTTTGTTTATTCTCTCTCTCTCTCTCTCTCTCTCTCTCTCTCTCTCTCCCCACCTCTCTTCCTGTGTGTGTACTTCCTTCTTCCTCCAGGGAGAAAAAGGACTTCATGGAAAGTAAACCCACATGCACCTATGCTACGTCCTAGAGCTTGAATGAATAAATACAAAATAAGCATGGAGTAACTTTCTGTAAGCCTTTTTCATTATCCTTAGTTCTTTGAGAGAACTTTGGAAAGAAGGAAGCAAGTGGTGATAGCACCTCAGGTTCAGGAAGAATCCTGACTTCTTAATTTTCATAAGTTGGAAAGGTTCTTGGCACATGTCGCCTAGATACTTTCATTTTCCCAGCCTTTCTATTTGTCACTAAGCCAGGTTCTGACCCCACTAGATGAATACAAGCTGCCACAGTCTTGTCTGACCCACTGTTGAGGCTTCCTGCTGCCAAGCTGAGCAGCTTCCAAATCTGTTACTCAGTTTTGCCAACCATTTCTCTGTTGTCCGCCATAGAACCAGCAAACAGCATTTACTGTTCACAACACATGCTCATCCACTTTACCCCATCCAAACATCTGCCTGTCTTTCATTTTCATTCTCTTATCAGTTATCTATGGAATAGTTACTCTATCCAAGATTGTTTTGGCAACACTCACATGTCATTCATCTGATTTCTAACTCAAAAGCCCTTTTCACTCTGCCTCCCAACTGCAGTGGTCATAGTCTGTCAAAATTGCTGTTCTCTCTGGTATTTGTGATGAAAGGAGCCATCACTAGTCACCATGAGGCCACCTGTACAGTGTCACCTGATGGTGACACAGCCTCTGTTCAACTCAAAAGTGCAGTGACTTCAGGATGGTTGTTAGTGCCACTAATATTTCCACCAAACTCTCAAATGGTTAGCATCTGTAACAGCTATCAGATCTGCACAGCAGAATGTAGAGAGGGGGTAGCCTATTATTATCAAGATCTGTCAAAGACAATAGAATTACAACATTAGAAGCCAAAACTAAATAGATACACCTCATATAGTGAACAGACAATCCCTGGATGGAGTTGGTTATGCTATAGTCATAAATGGCTGCAAATGACTTGGAACGTCACCCATGGACTCCTGACTAGATGTTAACCTTTTTATGTTAAGAGAGTGTTTTCCAACTATGATAAAACTACATATGGAGTGGTTTTAAGAGTTCAGTTGCCTGTTTTTCTTTGACTATTTATGACCTAGTTTATTTGTGTCCTGAAATGACCCAGTGTTAATCCTGTTGCACATTCAGAAGACATCAATGGTTCAAGTCTCCGTCCAGTATGTAAAAACTGTATCATGTTCTGTTTGCTTATAATGCAGTTTGAATTAGGGAGATAACTTCAAGTCACTGTGTGATCTAGGCAGACCATAAATGTAAATGAGCTGGTGGAGCTAACCTGTGATTTGATTCATGATTGATGTTTAATCTCTTAATCCATCAACACAGATCAATCGCATTTTCTAATTGAACCGAGAAGAATGCTCTTCAAGTACTCAAGGAAGTAATTTGTTTTCACAAATTGTCCTGAAACCCAAAGCTTCTTAGCGCCCCCTCATTGTCCCACTATGACAAATATATTAGCAAGAAAAGCAGAATTACAGTGGTGATTGGATGACTAATGGCAACTGAAATTTGGCTTTTCAGCTGCATGTAAAGAGCAGTAGTTACTGTGGGAATGAGCAGCGGTGCACCCAGCTGAATGGAGAAGATGCACACTGCATCAGCAGCAGGAGCAGGGCATGCATACCTTCCATGCCAAAATTGTAGAATGTTCTAGTAGAGACTGGAATTTATATTTACATGAACTGTTTTTATTTTATATGTTTGAAGATAATTTGGAGTTTAATATAAATTTGTGAGGTCAGCAAGCATGTGTGACCTGGAATTGACTGAGGACCTTAAAACAATACTCTATCATTTTCATTCTTTCCACTGTGCTCCACCACATTGATGTGAAGAGGACTTAATACAGGCAAGGAATGGAGGAAAACTTCTGCATGACTGAAAGGGCACCCGGCAGTTTGCATTATGCCAGACATTTCCCAACACACTCTTGACTCTACTCCAGGGTGCCGGCAGGATACTGATGTTTCAGAAATGTGGCTGAAATCCAGGAGTCCCTTACAATGCACCTGGAATTCTGGAACAGAAAGCATTCTGCACTTCTTCTAGAAGCTTTTAGGCACTGATATCCATCTTCTGAGCCTGGGGGAGCTTTCCTAAGGGAAGATACAAACCAGTACACTAAGCTAATGAAGAGCTCCTTTGGGAACCTTAGTCTCAAGAAGATTTGGGACATGAGAGAGTGCTGTGCTGTTTGCTAGTTGGCCGTTGAGGCCCAGGGCTTGCATGAGTCTGGAGCTTGTCCTCACACAAATAATCTTCATCAGACATGGTAAGGAGGTTGTTTCGGGATGCTGAAAATAGATGCAATCTGAAGCTAGAGACTGAATAATAGAAACGTCCACACACACTTACAAATGTGGCATTCTCAATAGCAATCATGTTGAGGAATATTTTTCTGTTTCATCAAAATTATTTAAAGAACTTTATATAGAATTTTTAGGTGAAAATTGAATTGTATGTTTGTTCTTTCTGGTGGAAATCATGATGACATAAACATTGTCACATGTAGAGGTGATCAAAAACTACACAGCCAAGAATGTAGGGAAGAGTGGCACGTGATAACAAGGATATGTTTCTGTCTTGGTTCTGTGGAATTAGCAATTTCGGAATGTTTTATACTAAATTGACAATCATGTTTATCTCTATAAGTATATTTATAATATATATTATTTTTCTTAATGAGGACATGAGTAGCTCTATCCTTTGAAATGCACAGCATTAAGATTCATCTTTGCTACAAAATCTGGAATATAAGCATGGACAATAAATACAGAGAGAGAAGAAAAGATGTGGAAATGCTGGGAAGTCTTTGAAAAAAATTTTTTTTAAAGATTTATTTTTATTATTTTTTTATTGGAAAGGCGGATATACAGAGAGGAGAGACAGAGAGGAAGATCTTCCGTCCAACGATTCACTCCCCAAGTGAGCGCAACGGCCGATACTATGCCGATCTGAAGCCAGGAGCCTCTTCCGGGTCTCCCACGCGGGTGCAGGGTCCCAAAGCTTTGGGCCGTCCTCGACTGCTTTCCCAGGCCACAGGCAGGGAGCTGGAAGGGAAGCGGGACTGCCGGGATTAGAACCGGCGCCCATATGGGATCCCGGGCGTGCAAGGCGAGGACCTTTAACCACTTGCGCCACCGCGCCGGGCCCAGTCTTTGAAAATTTTGACATGAGGCTTCATAGATGTACACAGGGAAGGGGCATATTTTACCAGCTTTTGCCTGGTCCTGGCAATTGTATTTATGGCAAATGGCATCATATAGAGTGTGCTTGAGTGATCAGGTGCAGGTCAAGAAACAAAAGATTGAGAAGGTACTACCCTTGCTCTTTTGGTAACATTTGAGATAGCAACGCTGACACCTTCCCACTAGAACTCCCTTAATAAAGTTCCCTCCACCTCTCCTTTTTCCACACTGGGTACTGACCTTCCAACACAACGATATTAGCAAACCATATATGTCGTGGAAGAGACTGAATTAAGACATAAGCATCCATCCACAGCGTTTGGACATGATAAATCCAGTCTTTCTCTCTGCTGGTACTGTTTGTTTTCTATCTCACTTAAGTCACATCTACTACTTTTTTTTCTAGGCTTGAGTCCGTGTCATTCTCCTCTTGGTTTTGTTTTCATATCATTTCTGTGACTATTACATTTTTTCCATGTTTGTACAAGATCATGTCCATTGCTAGTCATCTTTTAATTTCTTTGGTTTGATTTTATATGGCATCTCTCGACTAGACATAGTAAATATTGATGATATTAAGCAGCAGACATCAAATTATATTGGAGAATTTGAAACAACTCTTTGATGTTGGAGGAATCTTTAAAACATTTTTTTATTGAGCACAGATTTCTTCCACTTACTCATGGACCAAGAGGGAAGTTGTAAACCACGGTGCTTTACATTCCTTACCGTAGAAAGAAAAAATCCCCCAATCCAAACACAAGCGGATTTACAAGTTATAGCCTGGGAGAAAAAAATAGGGGCTTTCCTGGAAATGATGGAGTAGACATAAGTCACGTACAGTCATAGCATTTATAAGATAAGTTTATTTCATTGACACACAACTGTAAAAACAAAAGGGTTTCACCCATAAATATAAAAGATGAAAGAGTCAGTTCACTACAATTACCAAGAAGTTTACAGAGTGACGTACATGCAAATGAGAGAGTCCAAATACGTATGGAAAGGATCACACCCATTGCTGAGAGTGTATAAAACTCCCCGTGAGGAATGAGCTCCAAGCTCAGGATCGTCTCCCATCTCTGATCATCACCATGCCATACAACTGCAGTTCTGGAAACTTCTCTTCCCGCTCCTTTGGGGGCTACCTGCGTTACCCAAGATCTTCCTGTGGCTCTTTCTACCCAAGCAATTTGTTCTGCAGCACAGGCCTCCAGTCTCCCAGCACCTGCCAACTGGGCTCCACGCTCTTCAGCGGATGTCAGGAATCCCACTATGAACCCGCCAGCTACCAGACTTCCTATGTTGTGCCCAGCCCCTGCCAGACTTCCTGTTACCGCCCGAGGACCTCCGGCATCTGCAGTCCCTGCAGGACAAGTTATACGGGGTCTCAGGGTATTGGATCCAGCAGCTGCTGTTCCCTGGGCCACAGATCTAGAAGCTCGTACTCATTGAGCTGTGGATCGAGGAGCTGCTATTCCTCAGGCTGTGGACGCAGTGGCTTCAGACCTCTGACTTATGGAGCCATTGGCTTCCCTTCCCTGGGTTATGGATCTGGGTGCTACCACCCGTTCTACTCAGGCTCTAGGGGCTGCCAATCTTCTTTCAGACCAAACTGTTGGTCTGGGTCTGGGGTCTACTGATCACTGACTTACTTGTCTAATGTTGCTGACCAATGTCATTCAGGCTGCTATGCTTAATTGTTCTTTTCTTGCTTCTGTGAAGACTCAACCTCCTTCTTTCTTGCCTTGTCTCTGGCACCAAATGTTAACTGACAGATTTCATCTGAAGTTCTAAAATATGTGTACTAACTCAAAGTAAAGTCAAAAGGCTTCATTGGAAGTGGAATATATACTATGGAATTATCTTCTCATACTATTTAAAAAAACAAATTTAATTGAATAAATTTATTGGCTCTGATATGGATCTGTACTTGATTCATTTCATTGGTTATTTATTTTGGTTGTGACATATTAAGGTGATCACTATGAAATTATCAATGTGTACATATATGTCTATATATACAGATTTTGTATATATGTGTATATATGTATATATTTGCATATATGTATATATTGCACATATATGTTTCATATAGCTGTATATTGTATGTATACATATATGTTTATATATTGTATGTGAATACATTATACATGCATATGTGTGCATGTATAAATTTGTATATATGTATATATATGTGTATATACAAATAGGTTTTGAGAATCAATGAGGTGAGGAATTTGAACACACTGTTGGATGCTTTGGGTTTTTCTCTTACTCAAACTACAGGCATAAAGTAACAGATGAATCAAAAGTCATTCAATACTGCAGAAAACAAAAATACCACTACATTTATAAAATTATGATTGCACATGAAAAGTATTTTAGATGATTCAAAATTATAACATATACATCTTAAATCGCTTCTTTGAAATCACCCTATGTGCCTGGGTAAAATTGGCAAAATACCCTTATTTATTCATTTTTTATGGGAAAGGCAAATCTACGGAGAGAAGGAGAAACAGAGAGAAACATTCTCTATCCTCTGGTTCACTCTTCAAGTGTCCACCGCAGATAAAGCCAATACATTGCCAGGAACTAAGAATTTTTTTTCTGGATTTTCCATGTGGAAACAGGGTCCCAAGCTTGGGCTATCCTTGACCGTCTTCCCAGGCCACAAGCAGGGAGATGGATGAGAATTGGATCACACAGGACACGAACCAGCTCCTAACTAATATTCTGGCACTTGCAAAGCAAGGATTCAACTGCTAGGTCATTACAGTGGGCGCTAAAATACCTATATTTTATTGGTGAGTTTCCATCATGACCATCTCATCTGACATGCAATATGGAATATCATGAAACTAGATTGAAAAGTTAATATTGTAGACTTTAACCTACAATGGTTGTGTGAATTAATAGGGCCAATGGAATATCCATTTCTACACTGTAGATTCAATGCAACAAATTGACGTATCTGTCACTTTGGCACACCTCAAACAACAATGAATTTCAGTCATTCACTGCACCTGTTTGGTCCGGAGAGCACCATGTAGACTCACTTATCTGTGGTAATTAAGAAAACCTGTCTCATAGAAAGAGGCTCAAAGGTGATTTACCAGATAAAAAAGTTGGATATGGAAGTGCAGAAAAGGAAGTTTTAAAAATATCTCCATCGCGGTGGCGCAGTGGTTAAAGTCCTCGCCTTGCACGCCCAGGATCCCATATGGGCGCCGGTTCTATCCCAGCAGCCCCGCTTCCCTTCCAGCTCCCTGCCTGTGGCCCGGGACGGCCCAAAGCTTTGGGAACCTGCACCCGCGTGGGAGACCCGGAAGAGGCTCCTGGCTTCGGATTGGCATAGTATCGGCCGTTGTGCTCCCTTGGGGAGTGAATCATCGGACAGAAGAGCTTCCTCTCTGTATATCCACCTTTCCAATAAAAAAAATAATAAAAATAAATCTTTAAAAAAATATCTCCATTCATGTGTTTGAGTGGAAGAGAGACACAAAAAGGGGCAGAAACAGAGTTCCCATGTTGCGGTTGAATCCCCAAATACTTGCAGACACAATCGTGTGACCTATAAACCAGGCTACCAAGACAGCAAGAGCAGAAGCACAAGCCAGGTGTTCAGCGCAGGTGCACAGATATGAGACCCTGAAGTCTTAACTGCTCAGCAAATACGTAGCAAATGTGCAGATTTTGCTGCAAAGGTCCCATCTACACTGGAGGGAAAAGTTTTTTTTGTCATTTCATACGATGATCATATGATGTAATATAATAAATAAAATATTGAAAATGCATGTTAGCATCTGTCTTGCTTTTTATTCCTGTGTTAGTTAAAATATGCTGAAAATGGGCTTTTTTTATCATCAGAAATGGCAACTTAAAATGTATTTGAACATAAAGCTATGAGAGTGTTTATTTCTTCTTTTAAGGCTAACATTCTCTACTTCCATGCTCCATGTGGTATAGACAGTTTCAGAAAAACAAATGTAGAAGTGATGAAAGAAGAGGGGCATTTGGTGCAGCTGTTGGTTGACTTACCTCTTGGACAATCGGCATCCCACCTCACAGTGCCTGACTCAAGTCCACACCTGTGGTCCAGCTTCCTCCTAACACACAGCCTAGCACGCAGCAGAAGCATGGTTACAAGTACTGGAATCAGACCACCCCCGTAGATCTACATTGAACTCTGAGAGCTAGGCTTTAGCATGGCCCAGCCCTTGGGTTTTGTTGCAGACATTTGGGAGCAAATCAATGGGTGGAATAATCCCCGGTTTGTCTCTCTCTTTGTCTATTGTTTTAAATAAAATTGAAAATAAATAAATCATACTAGCCTTCCTCACCTAAGTCTTCTTTTGAGCTTTGAAAAATAAACAAAATAATTAAAACTGAAAGGAATAAATTTTAGAAACATTCAATAAATATTCCTACACATTGCTATACAAGGTTGTACAACAATATTTATAGAAAGGTATTCTTTACAATTAAAAAAAAGGACTCACTGATTTATCTGAAACTCAGACTCACAGAGCGGGAGGGAAAGAGGGAGAAGCAAGATGATGAATCTTCCATCCACTGTTTCACTTGCTAGATGGCTGCAGCAGCCAGGAATGGGACAGATTGAAGCTAAGAACTGAAGAGCTTTCTTTGGTTTTCCAACTTGGACTGGTAGGGGCCTAAGTACTCAGCTTTCCCAGGCCATTATCAGGAGGTAGGCCAGAAGTGGAGCAGGCAAGATACGAGCTGCCTCGTACGTGGACTGTAGGAATCACAGGCCCCACAGCTTTACCACTTTTGCTGCAATGCTGGTCCGCCCCCGCCCCCTACAAATTTACATTATGGTAGAATCAAGAACATGAAACATAAAGAGAGGACAAGGACGTCAACAGGCAATGCAGGGGACATAATCTAATTTCTCCGGTTTTGACATGCAAAGTTGCAGGAATGTTGGAGAAGGCTAAGAAATTTGGGAGATGTAAGTAGATGGAATATGTAAAGCATGGAAGATTTAAATAGTTAGGACCTAATTGGGAATCTAGCTAAGATACAACATAAGAAGATAATAACTGGCATGTGAATGACAAGTACTTGAAGCACAGACATCCTGCTATCCTGGAGTGTCACTTAATTCTGTAGAATGATCATTGCTTGTATTATAGCCCACTCAAACTATGAAAACAATCTTGTAACTTGATGCTCTCAATCTATTTTATCTCCTATTTTCATCACTTAATAAAATAAATCTCCCATCTAGTGGTTCGATGGGAAGTTTGGTTTTGTACGTGAGGAGAATAAAATAACAATTATATGTTTACAAAGGAAATATAATTTAAAAATAAAGATTTTGATCCAGAAAATCTAGACAAAGAATACCTATATTTGTGAAACAATGCAGAACTTATCAGGACAAATAAACCAGTAAGACAGACATATACAAGCCAGACAAAACCAATATTCCAAACAAGTAAATCATAGATTTTTTTTTTATCACATTAGAATGAAGAATGTAATTGGATCCAAAAAACCTGATGTGACCCAGGGCTGAGATAGAATCTGAAGGTTCATTTGCATAGGATGTTTCAGCAGGCACACATAAGAAAGCTCTGAGTGCAGAGAAGAGATTATACCTTCTTTGTTCTTTTTCTTTCTTTCTTCCTTTTTAATTAGTCTGGAAGAAATGAGTTCTGAAGCAGAGAAGGGGTCAAGGGGCAGATGACCGGGAAGATATTTTCAGACCTGGAGAAGGCTGAGCAGACCTGTGTCCCATTTCCATCAAGAAGGAAGAGACAGGATGAGGGAAGAGACAGAGGAAGGAGAAACACGTGCACCAGTAACCCAGGGTTGACATAAGCCAACTTTCTGATTTTTTTCCATATAAAGAAGATCACTTCCTGTAAAAAAAAAGTTAGCAGTGTCAATTATTTTAGCTAAAGTTGTCTGAAGCTCTGACAATAGGATGTGGAATGGAAAATCACCCCTTCCTGGAACCTAAAGCTCAACTCCAAGTAACTTCAATACTTCATTTCCATACTTTTTAGCATTGTTATAAAGTTTCTGTCTGCACTGAAAAAACATAAAGCAAATTCCCTCAAAAGGATCAGGTGCTAACACTGAGCCTTAAGTTACTTCTTTAGATAGACACGCATATTCATAAATGGCAATGTAGATACTTATTGAGACAGCTGTACATAATTACACAAAATAAGGTATTCAAAAGCATTGTGAATTTGCGAGTGTTCACTTCTGCCTATATGTTAAGAACTGCAATCTACATATTCATGTTGAATACAATTCAGTATTCAGTCATAATCCACTTCTTTTTAATCATTTCAAGTTTCCTTATAAGATTATCATTCTAACTGAAAATAATTATTCAGCATTCAGTTGAAGTATAGGTGATGTGAAAAATGCAACAAAAAAGTAAAGATTTGGATACTTTACAGAGGAAAGAAAAACAAAGTAAAATGACATGTTTTTCTATAAAGGGGAAACTCTATGAAATAGAGTAAAGGAAGGGGCCAAGCGCGATGGCACAGTGGTTAAAGGTCCTCGCCTTGCATGCGCCAGGATCCCATACGGACACCGGTTCTAATCCCGGCAGCTCCACTTCCCATCCAGGTCCCTGCTTGTGGCCTGGGAA